AATAACACATCCATCCCTTGCCTGTCCTGATCAGTCTTTCCACAGCACTGAAGCAACGATTGAGGCCATAGCCAACAAATGGAAATGCTTTCCCTTTATTTCACCCAAATTAGATGAACAGTAAACCCTTTAGTAATGCCAAAAGATGCTAGTGAAATCTTAGATTTGTGTGGTGTTTCCCCAGTAAGATTTTACAGGGTCTCCCTCCTCTCTCTCTCTCCTTACCTCCCTCCCTGTTGGCATGTGGGCAGACACTCAACCTATGAATTCTTTTTTTTTTTTTTTTAACATTTTATTAGGGGCTCATACAACTGTCATCCCAATCCATACACACATCAATTGTGTAAAGCGTATTTGTACATCGTTTCTGAAAACATTTTCTCTCCACTCAAACCCCCGACATTAGGACCTCATTTTTCCCCTCCCTCCCCGCTCCCCCCTCCCGCATGAGCCCTTGATAGTTTATAAATGGGTATTTTGTCATATCTTGCCCTGCCGACGTCTCCCTTCACCCACTTTTAGGTTGTCTGTCCCCCAGGGAGGAGGTCACACACAGTTCCATGTAATCAGTTCCCTCTTTCCTACCCATTCTCCCTTTACCCTCCCTGTTTTGCCACTCACACCACTGGTCCTATAGGGCTCATCCGTCCTGGATTCCCTGTATTTTCAGTTCCTATCTGTACCAATGTACCTCCTCTCAACCTATGAATTCTAAGAAGGCCTCACGTTACTCGTTTGAGTATTCTCAGGCATTCCATCCCAGAAAAAGATATGAATTGTTGCCCATTTAAAATTCCTGTGTCAAACTGTAAAAATGTCTGGGAATGAAAAGCCTCCTACTTTGTTTTCATTTTTAACCGTGTTTTATTTATCTTGGTTTCTTTCCTTTCCATATAAAATTGGTCATTAGTTTTTCCATTATTTTGAAGAATTGTGGTGGGTTTCTAATCAGAATTGCATTCAAGTTATATTTTGGTCATATTGACATTTTCACAATATTTGATCTGCCTACACAGGAAAATGGTCACTTGTTCCATTGTGTAAGTTCCTTTCAGTATCTTGAAAGGAGAATTTTGTAGTTGCTTTTGATTTTTATATATATAAAAAACTGGTAAGATTTATTCCTAAATATTTTATCTTTTGTGTAGTTATTATAAATGGTCTTGCTCTCAATATCTTTTTCAGTATCATCATCTGTATTTTATTTTGGGTTTTTTTGGTCATCTTTAATATATAAGAATTCAACTGATTACTGTAGATCTTATAGCCTGCTATGCTACCAAGTTTTTCAATTAATTCAAGCAATTATTTAATTGAATCTTTAGAGTCTTCAGTATATAGGAGTGTATCAACTGCAAATAAAGAGATTTTTATTTGTGCCTGTATGGATACCTTTAATTTCTTTTATGTCATATGGCTCTAGCTAAAACTTTGAGAACTATATTTTTTAAAGGGAAACGTTGCCTAGTTCCTGATCAAAGAAGAAAGGATTTCAATTTTTATTCATTCAGTGAGATGCAGGCTATTTTATTGAGTCCTTTTATCAGGAATGGATGTTGAATTTTATCAAATAACTTTTCTGCATCGATTGATATACTCATATGTTTTTCTCACTTATTTTGTTTATGTGATGAGTTACATTGATTATTTTTCTAATATTAAATCATCTTTTCAAATTTGGTGTGAATCCTACTTGATCATAATGTATTGTTATTATTATTGATGTGCAGTTGAACTCTATTGGATAGTATTTAATTGAAGATCTGGGCAGCTATATTCATTAGAGATAACAGAAAATAGATCATTTTCTATTCTAGTGATATTTTTGCCTGGTTTAGATATCAGTTATAGTTCCCTCATAAATTGATTTTGGAAGTATATTGTCCATTTGTATATTGTAGAATAGTTTATATAAAATTATTATTATTCTCTATATGTTTGATATAATTCCCCACTGAGACCATCTGTAACCAGACTTTTTGATGTTACGAGTTTTTTTATGACTAGTTCTATTTCTTCTCATTTTATAGGCTTGCTGAGATTTTCTATACCATTCTGTGGTAATTTAGGTAAATAACACTTTTCTAGAAATGTATCCATTTCTGCTAGATTTTTTAATTTGGTGGAATATAATTTTTCTTAATACTCTGTGATTATATTTTTATTTTATTTGGTTCTGTGGTAATATTTCACTTCTTATTTTCAGAATTTATTCTCTTTGTCAACCTGCCACTAGGTTGCTGGTTGACCCCCTCAGGAATGGTCTCATATCGTGGATTCAGTGTTGGTCTCTGCTGCTGACAGATGGATACTCAGCAGTGGCAGTAGCCACATCAGCCTTGGTGAATGGGAGTCCATGTTACTGAGCCTATGGGTAGCCTCTATCCTGGACACTTGTTTTATTCATGCACCCATTGGGCAAGGACAGGAAGGGCTGGGGAAAGAGCAGAACATGTCACCCTGTCCACTTGATTGTTAAAGTCCTCCTCTGCAGAGGTAACCTTTTTTGTGAGTATTCACATGAGATATAAATATCTTCACTCTTTTGGCCCAGTCAGAGAGGTCTAGTCACCCACCTCTTCCCCGTTGACCTACTCGTCGCTGATTTTCCAATCATGCTCCTTCGAAGTCCCTGACCATCCAGCCAGGCCACTGACCACAGCCCATGAATCAATATATAGTCACATATAAGCCTTTTCTGTTTCCAAGCAACTAAATGGCCAGGTGTACTGCTCAAAGTGCTGCCTATTGGGAGGATTACTCTTCACTGCTGTCTTCAGAGAGGTTCCCAAAAGGGGGTGTAGTGCTGCTGCTGTCTACTTTTGAGTAGCACCTGCATATTGTACAAAGCCATCAATAAACCAAGCATGAGTTTTCTTTCCTCAGTCAACTAATCACAAGGAACTCTTTATGAAGCTGTAGGTATGAACTGGGAGAAAAATGGTCCTGTGACAGGAGTGGAGACCATAGGTATTTGGGTCATTTCTTCATACAGATTCCTTGTATTGTCTGGTCCTGCTCTAGCCTGATCTCATATACACCACTTCCACTTAATGATGGAGTGATGCTGTGCATATCCAACTTTATAGTCTATGGGTCAACACCCAGTTCATGGAAAGCTCAAGCCCCAGGGTGATGGATGGTCCATGATCAAGTGTTCAATCTCCACTAAGACCCAGTAATAGGCCAAAAGCTACTTTTCAAAAGACAAATAGTTGCCTGAAGAGGATGGCAGAGCACTGCTCCAAAATCCTACAGGTCTGTGCTGTAATTTTGCAATGAGGGCCTGCCAACGACTCCAAACTACATCTTCAGCTTCAGTTCTGTCACCAAGACCATATTTTCCAACTAATGTTCCTTCTCTGTTTGCAACTTTTGCATTCCAATCACCAATAATTATCAATGCATCAGGATTGCATGTTTAATCAAATATAGGCTATAGAAAATTGATAGAATTCTTCAATTTCTGCACCATTATCCTTAGTGGTTAGTGCATAAATCTGAATAATAGTTGTATTGACTGGGTTTCCTTGTAGGTGCATATATAGTATCCTGTCACCGACAGCATCGTACTACAAGATCTTCTGCTTCAAAATGGCCAATACCAACCCACTTCAGCCCACTCATGCCTAGAATATCCATCTTTATGCCTTCCATTACATTTTTACAACCTACATTTTCCTAATTCATACTTCGTACATTCCAAGTTCCATTGATTAATAGGTATTTGCAGTTGTATTTTTTTTTAACATTTTATTAGGGGCTCATACAACTGTTATCCCAATCCATACACACATCAATTGTGTAAAGCGCATTTGTACATCGTTTCTCAAAACATTTTCTCTCCATTTAAACCCCCGACATTAGGTCCTCATTTTTCCCCTCCCTCCCCGCTCCCCCCTCCCGCATGAGCCCTTGATAGTTTACAAATGGGTATTTTGTCATATCTTGCCCTGCCGAGGTCTCCCTTCATTCACTTTTTGGTTGTCTGTCTCCCAGGGAGGAGTTCACACACAGTTCCATGTAATCGGTTCCCTCTTTCCTACCCATTCTCCCTTTACCCTCCCTGTTTTGCCACTCTCACCACTGGTCCTATAGGGCTCATCCGTCCTGGATTCCCTGTATTTTCAGTTCCTATCTGTACCAGTGTACCTCCTCTGGTCTAGCCAGTCTTGCAAGATAGAATTCGAGTCATGGTAGTGGGAGCGGGGAGGAAACCTTTAGGAACTAGAGGAAGGTTGTATTTCTCATCATTGTTACATCGCACCCTGACTGGCTCATCTCCTCCCCGAGACCCCTCTGCAAGGGGATCTCCAGTGGCCTACTAATGGGCTTTGGATCTCCACTCCGCACTCCCCCCATCATTCACTATGGTAAAATTTTTTGTTCTGATGATGCCTTACACCTGATCCCTTTGACACCTTGTGGTTGCATAGGCTGGTGTGCTTCTTCCATGTGGGCTTTGTTGCTTCTGAGCTTGATGGCCGCTTGATTACCTTCAAGCCTTTAAGACCCCAGACGCTATACTTTTTTATAGCCGGGCACCATCAGCTTTCTTCGCCACATTTGCTTATGCACCCATTGCAGTTGTATTTTCTCCCCTCATTTTAAGTCATGCCCCATCAACAAATGAAGGTCCCATCCACAGCATGATGGTTGACTCTCCTTTGAGAAGGCAGCTATACCTTCAACATATTTTGAGTGCTTTCCATCCCAAGGGGGTCATTATCTGGCACATTTCTGGCATTGTTCTTCTATTCATTATGTTTCCAATATCTGACAATATTTTTATGGTATCTATAAGGTTTTCCATGGGTGATTTGTCTGAAGTGGACTATTATTTCTTTGCAGTCTGTTCTTAGTCTGAAGCCCCACTGAACCTGTTCACTTTGGGTGACCCTGCTGGCATTTGAAATACCAGTGACATATCTTCCAGCATGACTTCCACCAAAGTATGACAAATGAAAGATGAGTGGTGGGTCAACGAATGGGCTGGCAACATTGGATTTCTTTTTTTTTTTTTTCTGCGTGTCATCCTTGCGCAGGGGCCATGCTAATCTTCTCTGTATCATTCCAATTTTAGTATATGTGCCACCGAAGCAAGCACTGGATTTCTATTTGCAGAAGAATGAAACAATACCTATACCTCATTCAATATACAAAAAGAAACTCTAGATGAATTAAAAACTAAAATGTAAAGCCTAAAACCATAAAGTTCAACAATGATAAAATAGGGACAAATGTAAGAGCTTTAATACATGGCATAAAGAGTCACAGGGAGGAGATGAGCCAGTCAGGGTGCAATGTAGCAACGATGAAACATACAACTTTCCTCTAAATACTTCCTCCCCTCGCCTCCCTACTATTATGATCCCAATTCAACCTTACAAATCCGGCTAGACCAAAGGATGTACACTGGTACAGATAAGAACAGGAAACACAGGGAATCCAGGGCAGATGTCCCTTCAGGACCAGAGGAGAGTGGTGATACTGGGAGGGTGGAGGGAGGGTGGGTTGGAAAGGGGGAACCAATTACAAGGATCTACATGTGACCTCCTCCCTGGGGGACGGACAACAGAAAAGTGGGTGAAGGGAGACGTCGGATAGGGCAAGATATGACAAAATAATAATTTATAAATTATCAAGGGTTCATGAGGGAGCGGGGAGCGGGGAGTGGGGAGGGAGGGGTAAAATGAGGAGCTGATGCCAGGGGCTTAAGTGGAGAGCAAATATTTTGAGAATGATGAGGGCAATGAATGTACAAATGTGCTTTACACAATTGATGTATGTATGGATTGTGATAAGAGTTGCATGAGCCCCTAATAAAATTATTTTTTTTAAATACATGGCATAAACACACTATCACACTTAATGAAAAACATTCCACAACAGAAGACAAAATAGAGAACTGGGACCTCCTAAAATGAAGACATTTGTGTGTATCAAAAGACTATATCAAAAAAATAAAGAAACCACAGACTAGGAAAAAAATATGACAATGATTATGATGGTTAGGGATAATGTCAACCAGACACTCCTGGGTAAGGGTAGGGGGGAACCCCACCTATCAATCAGGTCACAGTCTGATGACGGGTCCTGGGGTTGTAGCCCACAAGAACGACTGAATAGAGTTGAATCCTTTTTACCGCTTCACCTTCTGCTGGATCTGGATCTTGTGTCAGGTTCTTTGATCTCCTGTCACATCACCTGCTGATCCCAGGAGCTCATTGTACTCATTCAGCCAAGGTTGGATACATTTACTTCTGCATCCACCAACCTGTGTCCCCTCACCACCTCTGCTTCCTCATCCTGCTGCCTGCGCATCAGGAGAAGCCAGACTTGAACCAGACTTTACTTATCCAACTGTGTGAGCCGTTTCTTTTTTAAAAAATCATTTTATTGGGGGCTCATACAACTCTTATCACAATCCCTACATAGCCACTTCTTAATAAAAATCTCTTTCTATATACAGACACGTACAAGTGTCACTGGTTTTGCTTCTTAAGAGAACCTTGCCTACCATAATGATATTTTGGGCAAGGGACTCATCTCTAAAGCTACAGAAAACTATAACACCTCAACAAGATAAAGATGAATAATCCAATTACAAAATTCGATGGAATACTACACATTACTAAAGAATAATGATACTGTCAAACATCTCATGGATGGATTTGGAAAATATGCTTAGCAAAGTTTGTCAATCACATGCAGACAAAGATTGAATGAGACCATTGTTATAAAAGAAAAAACCAAGATAAGAAGTTTTTATACAAACAGAAATAGACTTTGATCATCTGGGAGTGAGAAGGGGAAGGAAAAAGAGGAGGGGGAAGCAAAATTTAAAAAATCAATTGATCATAGACCTATGGGTTTGTTTATGGATTCTCCCAATGTTACATTGTTTTGATAGCTACTTAAAAATTGCTAATAAAAACTCAATGCCACTGAGTCGATGACAACTCATACCGACAGGGTAGAACTGACCCTGTGAGTTTCTGAAACTGTAACTTTTTTTTTGGAAACTGTAACTCTGTAGGAGAATAGAAAGACCCATTTTTTTCTCCCATAGATTGGCTAGTGATTTCAAACTGCTGACCTTATGGATCACAGCTCATAGCATAACCACTGTGCCATCAGGAATCTAGATTACTATAGCTGTATAAAAATGTTTTAATCATTTTATTAGGGACTCATATAACTCTTATCACAATCCATACATACATCAATTGTGTAAAACACATTTGTACATTCATTGCCCTCATCATTCTCAAAACATTTCCTCTCCACTTAAGCCCCCAGCATTAGGTCCTCATTTTTCCCCTCCCTCCCC